ACGAGGAGTCTATCGACGGCGTCCTCGAGGATCCGGCAGAAACTGGGGAGGTTACTGAGGTCGGACTCGACGAGAACGACGACCTCTTCGATCGCCGGCGAGAGAGATCTCGAACGTCAGGCGGCGGAGACTCCGATTATGTCGGCGAGGGATAAACGGAAGGAGGAGGCGAAACTACAGCGATCGACGTCGAGCGCGCAGAGAGCGCTCAAGGGACTACAATTCATAAACAAAACAACAAAAGGAAACAGCTGCGACTGCGATTGGGATTGCGATTGCGATCAGATGTGGAAGAAGGTCGAGAAGAGATTCGAATCGCTTTCTAAAGAAGGTTTGCTCGCGCGAGAAGATTTTGGCGAGTGCGTTGGTAAGTAAATCTACAGTAATACATATACATTCATATATAACAAAAAAAAAAATTCTGTTTTGCGAATTAAAATTCAAAAATTTTGAAAATAAAAAAGGGATGAAAGATTCGAAGGAATTCGCGGTGAGTGTATTCGACGCATTGGCTCGAAGAAGAAGGCAGAAACTGGAGAAGGTAACGAAAGACGAGCTTCACGATTTCTGGTTACAGATTTCTGATCAAAGCTTCGACGCGCGTCTTCAGATTTTCTTCGACATGTACGTTTCCGTTTCTCTCTCTCTCTCTCTCTTTGGTTTGTCTTTACGTTTATAACTGTTACGGGAATAACGCAAAGCAAGAAAACAAATGTATCCATCCAAGTTCAACGAATAATATAATTAGTTGACAGACAATAATGATTGTAGAAAGTTTATCTGTAATTAATATCCCCGAGTTCTGAATAATGCAGATGAACCCTGATTGCAACTTGCGTTTATAAAATTAGGTTAACTGGTTTTTGTTTTCTTGTGTGTTTTTTTTTAAATCACAGAGTATTGAGTAATTTTGTTAATTGTGAAGGTAAATATTAGCTCACCAATCACTACTTGATTGGAAGCTGTTATCTCTTTAGTGAGACAGACTACCGCAACTTCACTGTAAATTATTTTTTACAATTTTAGAAATTATTAGGCATATACTAATATATGTGTTAGTTTTGTAATGTTGAAATGAAATATCATTTAAATCGCGTGTTGTTCTTGGCCATTGGATCTGGTGGTTCACGCAATCGACGGTGAAAAAGATCTAGTGAGTTTGAGTAATGGGCTATGGTTTACTTGGCCCAGTAAAATAAACGTTAACCAGATTTTCAAAAAGTTTCCTCTTTTAGATTTCTTCCCGCAATTTGTTCCTTGCAACTTGCAAGTAAGATAAAAAGGCTCCGACTCTTGAATCCACCAAATGCATAAATGATTTTGCGATGTTCCAACTTTTTTTTACCAAACATTTAGTTCTGTGAATTATTCCGTTATTCTGTCATTTTAATGACAAAAATAAATGTATTTTCGCAATTATTTTACCGTTTAATGGTATTGTTATAACTTTGAATATCAAGTGCTTCTGTCTTCTGATGAGAATAAAAGATTCTAAGTGTTATTATGTTTTATTACAGGGCTGACAGCAACGAAGACGGGAAGATCACTAGAGAAGAAATCAAAGAAGTAATTCATTTTCTAACATATAATAAACGCAAATACATAAATAACGTTGAAAACATAAATAACGCTAATCCTTTGAAACACAGCTTTTGATGCTAAGCGCATCAGCAAACAAGTTAGCAAAACTCAAGGAACAAGCAGAAGAGTACGCATCTCTGATCATGGAAGAACTTGATCCTGAGAATTTTGGATACATCGAGGTTAAACAAGAGAAAAAAAAAAAAAAAAAAAAAAACATACAACATATAATATTTTCTACTCTGCAATCACACACTATCAGCGACTTTTTGTGTTGTTTTCAGTTATGGCAACTCGAGACACTCTTACTTCAGCGAGACGCCTACATGAACTACAGTAGACCGCTTAGCACAGCAAGCGTTGCGATGAGCACACCAAGACGGAATCTAATTAGACCTCGTCATGTGGTTCGAAAATGTAGACAAAAGCTTCAACGTCTGGTTCTTGATAACTGGCAGAGAAGCTGGGTTCTGTTATTATGGTTCATTCTTATGGCTCTTCTCTTCGTGTGGAAGTTTTTACAGTACAGAGACAAAGCTGCTTTCAAGGTCATGGGTTATTGTTTAACCACAGCTAAAGGTGCTGCAGAGACTCTCAAGCTCAATATGGCTCTGGTTCTATTACCTGTGTGTAGAAACACATTGACCTGGCTAAGATCTACACGCGCTCGAGCTTTTGTTCCTTTTGATGATAACATCAATTTCCACAAGGTAAAAAAAAAAACACAATACAGTGCGTCTTTTCTATTTTTTCAGTCTTCATCGGTACGAAACTTGAGATCAAGACTATTTTGCCTCTCTGCTGCAGATTATTGCTTGTGCCATAGTGATTGGGATAGTTGTTCATGCTGGTACTCACTTGGCGTGTGATTTCCCCCGGATTATAAACTCCAGTCCAGAAGAATTCGCCTTGATCGCTTCTCCCTTCAATGGTATTAAGCCCACATTCAAAGACCTGATGACAGGTGCAGAAGGAATCACCGGGATCTCGATGGTGATCTTGACGACCATCGCCTTCACATTAGCATCGACTCATTTCAGGAGAAACCGTGTGAGGCTACCGGCACCACTTGATCGGTTAACTGGATTCAACGCATTCTGGTACACTCATCATCTTCTAGTGGTTGTCTACATTATGCTCATTGTGCACGGGACCTTCCTCTTCTTCGCTGATAAGTGGTATCAGAAAACTGTAAGCAGAACCTAATCTCTCACCTTGCTCTTAAAACCGAAAATGTCAAAATGACTCTAAACCTAGATCCATTGCTGTTAAACCTCTCAGACTTGGATGTACATCTCGGTTCCTCTGGTTCTCTATGTGGCAGAACGAAGCCTGCGAGCTTGTAGGTCCAACCATTACTCTGTCAAAATCCTCAAGGCAAGCACTGTTCACCGAGCAATTACAAAAGGTGTTTGAATATCAAAAAACACATAACATTCCAACATTGATCTCTGCAGGTTTCTATGCTACCTGGGGAAGTACTCAGCTTAATCATGTCAAAGCCTCCTGGATTTAAGTACAAGAGCGGTCAATACATATTCTTGCAGTGTCCAACAATCTCTCGGTTTGAATGGTGAGTACTGATGCCAATTTCCCCATAATGTTATCTCGAGTTTCATACATAAAGATGTTCCCTAAACCTTTCCAGGCACCCATTTTCTATTACCTCTGCGCCAGGAGATGACCAACTTAGTGTTCACATCCGAACACTCGGAGACTGGACAGAGGAGCTACGACGAGTTCTAACAGTCGGCAAAGATCTTTCAACATGCGTCATTGGGAGATCAAAATTCTCAGCCTATTGCAATATTGATCCATCACAGTAAATTCCGAGAAACTTTCTTTGCTTCCTCCTATCTACATAAAGATACCTTAGTATTAACATGCCTTGTTGATCCTGCATTGTGCAGCCGACCGAAATTACTAGTCGACGGTCCATATGGAGCTCCAGCACAGGACTACAGAAGTTACGATGTCTTGCTCCTCATTGGATTGGGAATAGGAGCCACTCCTTTCATAAGCATCCTGAAGGATCTCCTGAACAACTCAAGAGAAGAACAGACAGTAAGTCCGATTCAGTGCACCAGAATAGTTAAAAAGTCTTTTCAGGCACCTTGCACTAAAATCATAATATCTCTCTAACTTCCAATGGCGCAGGACAATGAGTTCAGCAGATCAGATTTCAGCTGGAATAGCTATACATCATCATATACCACAACAACCCCAACGTCAACACAAGGTGGGAGAAAGAAAGCAGTGAAGGCTCACTTCTACTGGGTCACAAGGGAGCCAGGATCCGTCGAATGGTTTAGAGGAGTAATGGAGGAAATATCAGACATGGACTGCAGAGTAATAAAACACCAACATATCTTAAACCGCTTACTTAATCTAGATACTAACATATTCCTTCATCTTATCGTGAAACAGGGCCAGATTGAGTTGCACAACTACCTTACGAGCGTATATGATGAAGGCGATGCAAGATCAACCCTGATAAAAATGGTGCAGGCTTTGAACCATGCCAAACATGGAGTTGATATTCTCTCCGGTACACGGGTAAGAATCGTTGTGCGAAGAAATTATCAGAAAAAAAAAGAACTGTTTACCTACCACCACTACTAAGATAACATCTTTCGAACAGGTGAGAACACATTTTGCAAGGCCGAACTGGAAGGAAGTCTTCAGTAGCATAGCAAGAAAGCATCCAAATTCCACAGTCGGTAATATATTCTATACATCTGATACATAAAAAAAACCGTATCTTCAAGGACTAGTGAATTATTATTACCATTGGGAAAAGAAACGAAAACACTGCAAATAGCAGCAATAAATAGCACAAGGCAAACACAAGAACCTGTTTGTTAATATTTAAGGCCAAGCATATATGTAAGTGAAGACAATCTCTATCGTATTGTGTGTGTGCAGGAGTGTTTTACTGCGGCATACCAACCGTGGCAAAGGAGTTGAAGAAGCAAGCACAAGAAATGAGTCAAAAAACAACCACACGATTCGAGTTCCATAAAGAGCATTTCTAATTCAGTTTCCACAAAGTCACTTCTCCCTAAAAGTGAGATTTACGCCAGCCTTTAATTTTTCTCATGCTAACTTCACAGTCACTCACTTAGCAAAATAGATTTATAAACACTGTTTCTCACAAGGAAACACTGTCCTGCATGTTTGTATAGACACCCGCCTAAAGGCATGAAAAATAACAAAAATATATATGTTACTATACTGAATAATATACGCTATTAGTCAGTCACAGAGGAAGAAAATTGAAACAAAACAACAAAGTTTTCATCGGCACAGCGAACTGGTACTCAAAACGCATTCAACAAGGAGAAGAGAGTAATGCCTTTTTGTGGTAAACTGTATCAAAAACCGCAGAAAGAAGCAAAACAGAGGTTGCAGGAGGAGTTTTAATCATCTTTGATTCTTCTCAGCAACTTAGAAGCCCATTTTCGTACCCGTCTCTTGAGCGTATAACCCACAAACACTCCAGCGACGAAGAAAACAGCGCATAGCTTTGTACACGTCCACACAGAAACTCCGCTGCCACCAAACACAGTCTCAGATATGTCAGATGAAATTTTCTGAGTAGAGAATTATCTATAATCGACCTGCTCGGTTCTGTTCCTCTGCCCAATTAAGGATCTTAGATCACTTTTTTAACAAGCCATTATAAATTCAAAAGTTTTCTTCGATCTGGAACTGGGTACTAGATTTTGAGCTATAAACAAAACGAATCTGCCATCTTTTTTCATTTTGTTGCGTCTTTGTGTAATTCGCAGAACAGGTTTATGATTGTGATGAACTTCAATCCAGAATAGAAAAGGATCAGATTACCTCGGAGGTTTGTTGACCAGAATTCCGGATCCGTCGTATGAAGTCAAGTTGCCGGAGCCTCGTTTCTCCTGCATTAGGTTGTCCGCGAAATCAGATAGAGAGGAGGAAGAAGAAGAAGCTGCCGATTTCGCATCTTTCACTATCTTGCTGTAAAACTTCTCTAAACCCTCCATCGCTCGCCGATTATCGAGAAAAAAATAAATGAATAATTAGGGTTTAGGGTTCACTCCTTGCTTTTTCCCAGGTGAGTGATGATTATTGCCGGTGAGGAATATCTCTGGCTAAAGTGACTTGCCGTTGACCCAAGACTAAATAGAACAGAAAACGTAAACAATGATTTATTTGTCGACCAAAATAAAAATAATTTTTTTCTTTAATTAAATGTTTTTTTTAAATGTAAAATAAATCAAATTTAAATTGCTAGTTGAAAATAAAATGACTAAATAAAACAGAAAACGTAAACAATGATTTATTTGTCGACCAAAATAAAAAATAATTTTTTTCTGTGATTAAATGTTTTTTTTTAAATGTAAAATAAAGCAAATTTAAATTGATAGTTGAAAATAAAATGCTTTTGACTAAGGTGTAAAATAAAGAGAATCAATATTAAAATTGGTACGACTTTATTATATCTTCATACAATAATTACAAGAGTGTAGCAAAAGCTGATGATGTAGTGGAACATACATGATGATTATTCAATGACTCACCAACACAATTTTATAATTTTATCATACAGTATATTATCGTCAAGTATAATGTTATATATTCCTTGAGTAGTAAGTATATTTAGTTACTCTCCTCTTGACTGAGTCGATAGTCTTGAGAACCGTAAGGACTAAAAGCTTCGAGGAACAAGTTGGGTTTTCGCAGAGGATTAAGTCCCATGTCATTACACAAATCATCGGCATGTTGGATGCTGAAAGTAGAAATGCAATGGCGTTTGTAGAATCTGCTCGATCCTCTCATCACTTCCATTTCTTTGAAGAATTGGTCCAACATTTTCTCTTTGCTCGGTAATTTGAATTTATCATCCACGAGCCGGCTTAACCACAACGAACGTAGCTCTGATGTGTGCAAGTTCGCGTTGCTTTGAACATATCCCACGAAACCCATGTTTGGTATCAATGGATGGATTGTTCCCCTGAAATTTAAATAATTTTTTTTTGTTATATATAATCAAGCAGCAGTCCAGTTTCACTATAGAATGTATATACAGTAGTACTAATGAATAAACGTTTTGATTACAATTTAGATTTTCAAATGAACCTCAAGAGGATTAATTTGTACCTGTATAAAGGCATGACACCGCATGGAAACTCAAGCCAAGTTCGAAAAGGTTCAGGAACAATGGCTTTGAGCTTCTTCTTGCCATCATAACCAGTTGCGAGTATCACAACATCAGCTTCCAGTGTAGTTCCATCCTCAAACTCAATCCCTTGTTCATAAAACCACCATTTTGATGTTTTCTTAAACCGGATCATTCCTTTATCCGCTTCCTCAAAGAAATTCTCCGGTAAGATGGCCATTTGACAAGAAGCGTAGTCTTCTTCAAAAGAATGGTCTGGTGTAAGACCATATTTCTTTAAAGGAAGCTTCCACATAACATATGATTCGATGAATTTGGAAACCACTGCACGCTGTATTGTCATTTAGGTATGTTTAGAAAGTCTACATGATTGCACATTTTATAGAGACCAAATTACGGGTTTTGAGATCACTAACCAGAAGAGCGAAGAGGAGGCAAAAGACAGTTCTAAGGAAGCTTTGGTTAGGCCTATCATGGAGGAACTGAGAAGCTCTCGTAGAGTAGAACAAGAAGAACGGTAAGCCCCACACCCAATAATGTGGAACCACCCAATGTGTTGTTCTCACCACCATTGTGCATGCTTTTCCTCCTTCTCCTATTTTTTTTGTTTTTGAATTAATCTTATTTAGTTATCGGAATCATATATTATATAAGTAATAATGATCGAAATGGGTCATGTTGGAATATTTAATCTGTCAGTTTATTACCAAACTTGTGAGCAACTGTCTGATTGTCCCAATCATGACTACGGTCCAAGTCCAACCGAAATTTGTATACATATATTGTAAGAAAATAATTGCTATATGGAGTATATATATAATTTATGTTTGGACTTGGGCCAATTGTTAGAGTGAAGCTAATTAAATGTGAATTAATCAAAGACTTTTGTGAAGAAAGAGAGAATACATACCTTGATTAGCTACAGCAGACTCTAAAGCCAAATCAATGGCGGATTTCTTGAAGCCAATGACGGCGACTTTCTTATCACGGAGGAGATTAGATGCTTCTTCTTTCTCTAACTTGCAGTAATCCATCGAATGCATCACTTTCCCTTTAAATATCTCAGGCCCTTTCTTCGCCGGAAAAGTCGGTATTCTCGGTACGTCACCATATTTCCCGGTGCACACTACCACGAACTCAAATGCATGCCACTGCACACACATATACACATTAGTAACAAAAATATCAATCAATGATTCACAAATAGACGTAAACCCAAAATTTTACGCCTACAGTTTACAAAAACTATTTGGAGTCGACTTTTTATGATGCATGCAATAGTTTACAAAAACAATTTAGAAGTTTTATACAACTTTTAGACAAAAAAAATAATCTCAAGTTGTAACAACAACAAAAACTCGTTCATATACATATTCAAAAAAATTATTTTTCACCAACTACAAAATTTACTGTTATAAATTCCAGACATTGGTTTACGATGTAATTTGAGATAAAAAATTCTTAAAGAAAAAATCGTAAAAAAAAAAATTAAAATTAAAAAGTTATATAAGAATGCAGATCAAACCTGAATATCTCCAGCATCTCCGCTTTGAACAGCAACTTCCCAGACAGGTTTTCCGGGCAACAAGTTGCCGTAAGCACCGAGGGCAACCATCTGAGGAGTTTCGCCTTCACCGGTGTACCTAACTTCGATGACCTTAGAGCTAAACTTCATGAACTTGAGGAGATCAAAATGCTTAGCATAGGATTCCAAGTAATCTAATATCTCAACGTAAGACGGGAAAGTAGTTTCATCTCTATTAGGCCACGGAAAGTCAGAGAACTCATAATCGACTCGAGCCGATTGTAACTTAGTCGTCTCGTAAGTGCAGCTCTTCCAAACACCTCCGACCGAATCCGAGGCTTCGAAAACAGTCGGGTTGTGATGAGCTAAGTGCTTAGCGGCTGCTAAACCGCTAACACCCGCACCAATGATCGCTACTCTGGAAGAAGTAAGCTTATCGTAGTGAGAAGCCATTGTGGGAGAGAGAGAGTGAGAAAGATATGGTTTTGATGAAGAGTGTTTTGAGTTGTTAGTTTGTGAGTTTGCATGGGGCATATTTATAAGGCTTTTTCGGGTTCGGGCCAGGTATTGGGTCTCCGGGTCGGGTATGAATTTTATTAGGTTGCACGTGTTTTGAATATTGGTTTAGTTTCGAGGAGGTTTGAAAGATCTAAAGTGTACGTTGTTCTTTCTTTGAGAAATTTGGTGGTTATTGTGTGGAAATTTCTGCATGCGTGCGTTGTGAGATCAATAATTCGGCTTTTTCTAATTGTTCGTGTTAAATTTCTAAGTACCTTCAAGAAGTCTAATGGAATATTTCTCATTTTTTTGTTTATTTAACTTGCTTTGTCTTCTTAAATTTGTTTAAGAACTTTATAATTATATATAAAGCCAGGAATAGACAAAAACTCCGTTCCGTTCCAATTTCGTCCTCGAGATCTCCTTATTTTTTTTTAAAAAAAATATGTACTTCCAATGGATACAAACCTTCGAATATCATGTGAGAACAATTAATTGTATTCCACCGTGTAAAAACTGTATAAAATCAACAAATATACATGATACTTTTATAATTTTACATAAATATTTGTATTTATCATATAATTATTTAATAAAATAATAATAATTAATTCCCATCCCCTCCCATTTCAAATGGGACAATAAAGGTGACAAGTATATAATATATATTCTTTCAATATGTTAATTTTGCAACTATACTTATCACCGGTATAACTATTTATACTTATCTCACGGTGTATAGATAAACTAAAACATATATTTTATGGCTTTATGTAATCGATGATTAATATACTCCGTATGATTGTGTTACCTGCATAATAAAAGCTAGTTTGAAAAAAGTGAAGCAACAAAAACGAAGCAACCAGAGGGACGTCAAATAAAGATTTAGTCTCACTAACTATTCCAATAAAATACAAGATCTTAAATTTTATTATTAACGAGAAAAATCATCGAAAAAAGTACATTGCATTTATATATGTGGTCTTTGGTGGTTAGACTTTATATAACTATTTTAATCATATACTGGTCTATTCTTTAGTTTGTTAATTATGTCTGGTTCTTTGAAAACTATGATTCTGTGAGTACTATTTTTATTTTTATTTTTATTTTCTTGTATCTAGTCTACTAATATTAGACTAAATCTCCACTCCTAAGATTTAAATTTAAATAACAATCAAGTTCTTAACTCTTAAGTACGTGTCCACGCAAATTTTGAATGTTAAACAATAGAGAAAAAAAGGCTAGCCTTATAATTTATATTTGACTTCCGGACAAATTATGAACTATATATACAACCACATTTCGGTTATGTAAGGTATTTTATTATATTTTCTTTAATAGTTTCTCTACAAAATGTCACAGCGACAAAAGTATAGTGCATTTTAATTGAAATCTCACAATAATTAGTAATCGAATCTATATATTGATCAAACTAAGTCTTAAAGTTAATGACAGTATACACGATACCAGTTATTTTTAATAACAATACAAAATAACAAATTAAATATTTTACTTAATGAAACTAATAAGAGAGTAAACACTTCTTGATTGAGTTCAGATTTTTAGTTATTGTAAATTTATATCGTCTAACCCATAATGTAGATTCGATTAACATATAAATACATGGTGGTAATAAACAAACAACTAATATAATGTGGATTATATCTAGAAATTAGAAATATAAAGATATACATTAATCAAATGGATTAATAGAGATTACACGTACACAAGAATAAATTATTGTTCTACTTCTATCAAATTAACATAACTTATTGATTTTCTTTGTTTGTTTTTGACTTCAGAATTTCTTGAATTTGAATACATTTCTTTTCATACACACATATACAAACAAACCCAACTCTGGTAAAACAAGACTAGTCTTTTTTAGGTCGACCATTCTTCTATGTCGATGGCTTTTAATATCATTAACATTAATTTATTTCGTATGTACCAAGAAAACAAAATTCTTTTACCCGTAGATATCTTCTATAAAATATCTTTTTATGAATAAATCATCCCTAACCATTGAGTTAAGAAGGTTTAGGCATACTGTATACACATATTAACACTGTACCGAGTAAACCAACGTTTTTAGTTGTGAAAGTGGAAAATCTTCTAAGTCAAACGTAAAAAGCAAAGCACACAAAAATATTAAGCTAAGTATAATTGGAAGATGGTCCATTATTAGTGAACATATAATCAGATAAACAGAAACAAATCTCGAAATCTACAAGTATTGACGTAATTTCATTTTAATACAATCATTTTGTTACTTAACCGACTCAAGTTGGTCATATTAAGACTATCCAAAACCTTTTATAACAGAGTACTATCCAATGTCACTGAGCATGCTTCATACAAATGGAAAAGAAGAGGAAGCAACAAAGAAAATGAGTTTAAAGGATATTCAAGTAGAGGAGAATAAGTTAAGGAATATGGTTCGAAAAAAATTATAAAAGGGAGAGAGTAAATACAATGTACCATTTTTAATTGTTTGGTACGAATCAATTCTCTTATGATCGATTGTTATGTTGTAATCTTACTTCTTGTCTTTGTTACGTGCATATAACTTTTTTTTGTGGTCCTAAGCTTTTTTAATACCCACCCCTCCATCGTTATAATATTGATCATTTTCATTGTTGTTATTATAATAATCACTCAACAGTAAACATTGGAACACATAATATTTTAAATACCTAAAATCAAGAAATTATAAACATTCACAAGAAGCATCAAATTATCCGTCACTTGATCCGACAGATTAGTACTTATACCCGACAGAAAATATACCTTTCAAAAAGGAACATCCACAGATTATCCGATCCGAATTCATATTATATGTACTGGATCTAATATCCAAATTTATAGAACATCTGAATACTTACATAACTATTTATTTTTCTCTCAAAAAATAATGAAGTAAAAGTTATAATTCTCAAAGCTAAAAATTATATTTAAGCAATATAAATTTTAAAAACATTATTTCAAACTTCAAAAAGTGATTTATTTGTCTAACATAAAAATGTATTTAAGTGGAGCCTCTTGGCCCAATAGTTTAATAAGAGTTTATTAATGTTTTTACACCAAAAAGTTTATATTTTAAATTCCAAAATGCATGATTTATTTAAATAAATGAAGAAGATGCAAATTAATAAAAGCAAACTTACAAAAGATTTTCACTGTGGTGCAAGCAGAATCGCCAGAAATAGATCTTTGTATGATGATGGATAGTATGATGCAGGATATAAAACTTTTAATCGTAGATCTATGGTAAAATTGACCGTTGTAAAATTGTCGATATAACAGTTTTCATAGTTTGCAATAGATTAATAAACCAATGTTAAAAAATTAACAATGTGTTTTAATCGTATAACAAATTAGAATATACAATATATGATTAACTGAAAATAGAATACTTTAAAACATGTAATTTAAAATAAAACAGATATCCAACACTTAGTTTACAGCAGGTAGAATTATGATGTTTTTATTCGAATTAAAAACTATGCAACAATTTTTTTTCCAAACAGATTGAATAACGGACAATGAGTAGTATTAGTGTCCGTTTGACCCCCAAAAAAAAGAGTAGCATTAATATACAATTTAATATGAATTTAAATCTTATTAGCAACTCTTGATCAAATAGTTAATATAAACATGCTCATAAAATAATTTTTTTTTTTAAACATTCTCTTTTTTTCTAGAAAAAAAACGCGTAAAAGTATATTTACAGCCTATTTATGTATTTGTGACTAGAACATTTCATCATTTGTAACGGATCAGCAAGTCAAGATTTAATCTAGCAAAAAAAAAAAAAATCTTGAAGTGACTAACAAAATTATCATAACACTGATCATGTCTACAACGTTGGACTAATAGTTAATAAGAAAATTTTCATAACACTGATCAGTGATCACTTCTATAATCTTCAAGTTGACTTATAGTTAGCAACAAGATTTAATATCTGTGAAACTAACAACGTTAAAAATTTCTCTTGTAATTTTCATAACACTGATCACGTCCTTGAGTAGTTCAAGGTTCTTTTTTTAGTTGGGTCGGTGTGTTGGGTAGGGACTTTGGATAAAAGCTATGAGTATATAAAGTAGCTATGAATGTTAAATTTGACCAGATCGGATATACTGCATCATCAAATAAGTAAATGATAGAATTATATATATCAGCAGTAAAACAAAAAGCTAATTAAGACTGCCTAAGAAGGAAATAAGTTTTAAATGGTTGTATACTTACAAAAGTACAAATTAGTGGAGTTTCACTATCTAAGTTGAAAAGTGTGGAATAACAACTCAACCTATTCGACTAAATTTGTTTGAAAGGGTTGAGATATTAACCAGTGCCACTTATAAAATTAATAAAACAAATATGAGTGCAGTGGTAAAAAAAAAAGAAATAGAAGAATAATCATTCCTCCGTACTTCTTCAGAGTAGTAGAAGAATGTACTGGATTATTTTTCCACGCTATTTAACCCATAAAGATAAAAATTTAGAAAGATGATTAATGTTATTAATTTTTATTTCATATAAAAGGTAAAAATTTAGAAAAAAATGTTTAATGTCATCAACTATTATTTCTTTAAATTTACAATCGTTTGCACTTAGAAAATAAACAAATTTGAGAACAAAGTAATCCTCTTAATTCTACTGAGTACTATTTGGATCCATAGCTTCACGAGTTACCTGTATCTAAAAAGTAAAAACTACTACTAAAATGACCGAAAGGTAAAACAAAAGAATCACCAAAAGTGCGATTATATATCAACTATATTTATGGAATTAGGGCTAATGGTCCAAATGATAATGGGCCTATAAAAATTTAACTTGATGCCCATATACAAATTTATCTTGGATATTATTAATACTAATACAGTGATACTTCTATAAATTAATACTCGATAAATTAATAATCACTATAAATTAATAATTTTTGCCGGTCCCAAGTCGGGTCAGTGTAAAAATTAACAAATTTCGATAAGATAATAAGATAATAATTTTTTTGAAACTCCTATGTAAAAATATAGTCCCAATAATTAGATAAATTAATAATTATATATTTAAAAATATATGAATAATATAATATAGTAAAATATAATTATATTATTGTTTCAAATTTATAAAAATTGTTTGACTTATTTTCAAATTTACTGATATGATATTTTCTGAACAAATTTTACATTATTGATTTGTTTTTATTTTTTGACAAATATTTTGAATTGAAACTCAAATATCTCTCGATAAATTAATAATGATTAATTTATCGATTAATTAATAACTCTATAAATTAATAAATTTTTGAGATCCCAACATTATTAATTTATAGAGGTTTTACTGTATGTATAAATCATAGCGTTTACAAAAATGAATTTGCTTAACTTGTTGAATGTTTTTGTTAGACATACATTTCTTAGCAGAAAAAATGAAGACAAGAAGCGGTGGCTCAAATATTTTAATCTTACTAACACATGAAGAACTATTGTTATCATTACATAAAGAACAGATTGTTCACGACAGCTACCTCTCCACTTTCTTCCCCTGTCCTGCCCCATTCCTAAGATTGTTCTTTTTGACTCTCTGAAGAAACTTTTTCTTAATCTCTCTGCGTAAGTCAATCGAATCCTGAATCATAACACTACCAAAAACATGGGAAGAAGTTCTTGTACACACACACACACTGCATCAAAACATAGAGAAGCACCCTGTCATTTGTAATCACGCAAAGAGATTGATGATGGTAGAATATAGTGTAAAATCCCAGTAACTAAACCATTTCCCAAACTTTAGTTACCGGTCCCCAACATGGTTCAAGAAAAGTATACTATGTTCAATTCCAGGTTGTCGAGCAAAAAGCTTGTTAATATGTTAGGTAAGGAGCAAACTGTTACACAGAATCTGAGGTTGCATCAAGGATGGGCCAAGATAGCATTAAAGGAGGTAGAATAAATATGGAAATTAAGATGTACCTCACAGCAAGTTACACAGATAAAGACAGCAATGGACTTTTCGCCATTCATCATTTGTAAGGAGCGAAAATGATGCTAGAGTTCTGGCCACCAAACCCAAATGAATTTGACAAGGCTGCTTTAATTTCCAGTCTCTCCTTCTTTAGACCCACAAGCAGCTTTGTATCCTGATCCATTTCGTAATGAAGTTGTGGTTTAAGTTCACCCGGAAAATTGTTTTGTGTCAGAACCATTGTATCTGTACAAGGGTATTAAATGATCGATGCCAATAAATTAAAAACTTGACAACATACCACTGCTTTGTCTGGATTCTCGAGGTTGATATTTGGATGAACCCATCCTGTCTTTATTGCCTATAGTGTGACAAGGTCACACAACATTTATTGTTTTGCCCACTCAAACTTGCTTATTCATCCAAGGAAATTTTTCTTTAGACTTAAAAAGTCATTACCTGAACGGTTGCAACAGCCTCCACGGCCCCAGAAGCTCCCAGCAAGTGTCCAATCATAGATTTTGTCGAGTTTACCCTTAGCTGCCATATTATAGACATCAGTGTGCATCTACAAGACAGGACATGCTGTCTAAAACAGCTGGACCGAGAGAAACAAAGCTACCTCAGGATTTTGGCCAAAACAGTGAGCAAGAGCGTGGTACTCCTTGAGGTCTCCAGCTGGCGTAGAGGTAGCATGAGCATTTACGTAATTTATGTCTTCCTTTACAATCCCGGCATGAGCTAACGCTTTCTCGATACAGAGAATGACGCCAGCACCTGCGGATATTAGATATCTCCTTCAGTTAAAAAAAACTAAGGGGTTCGATGAATAAGAAACCATTGAAAAGTAAAGCTTAGAGTCATGATCTCGAGCAACCAAAGAATGAATATTCTCACATATAGAAAGAAGCAAAAGAAAAAAAGATTTACCATCAGGACGTGGTTCGGTTATATGGTATGCATCACATGTGAAACTACCACCAAGGAACTCTGCATAGATAGTTGCTCCTCTTTTCTTCAAAATCAGAATTTATCAATTTATATTAAAGCTTTGAAAAAGTAAGAAAAGAGTTGGACCATCAAACAGTTATACAAAAGCCTTGAAGAACAGAGGTAACTAAACTTTGAAGAAATAGAGATGGCGAAAAAAAAGTATGGAGCAAAAACATAAAACACTTGAAAAGCAAAGATTCAGGAGTGGTAAAAAAGAGCCTAAGGTTTCTGTATGCATGATTGAAATGAGTGACAAACCTTGGCATGCTCAAGTTCTTCTAAAAGCAGAACTCCAGCTCCCTCGCCCATAACGAAACCATCCCGATTCTATTCAGCAAGCAAGACCAGGTTTAATAGATTTATTTTTCAATATTAACCTACACGAGTGAGATGCACTGGATATTCATGTCCGTACACACATCCACCGTTTTTAGTAATCAAGATTTAAAACGAACAATAAGAGAAAAATTTGGACAACATGAAATAAAAATAAGACAGTACGAATATCGTGGAAAATTACACTATCCCAAGGACGAGAAGCTTTGGTGGGATCGTCATTCTTTTCTGAAAGAGCCCGGCAGGCAACAAAACCTCCCAACCCTGCATTAGTACACATGAGATAAGATCTGTCTGGCAAAAATGTTCGGGAAGAAAGGGATGCAATGTAATATAAAGGGAAGAGTAAGCACCTATTGGGATAATAACTGAATCAGAGCCACCACAGAGCATTACATCCTATAAGTTTTAGCCAAATGTCAAAACAAAAGTAAAGCCTCCAATGTTATAACAATTTCCCCGTGGATCGAGGATACTTACAGCTTCACCTTTAGTAATGTGGTTTGCCGCATTCAGAATACAAAAGTTGCCAGTGGCACACGCAGTTGAAATAGAGTAGTTTGGACCCATCCATCCCTAATGTAATCATAACAACGAAATGTCAAAAAAAAAAACTTACGTGCAGCCATTGGTACAACGGCATAACATTCCAAAAAAAAACTAATCAGACCAGATCCAAGGCAAGCATAGCTGAGCCCATGTTTGTCGTCGCGAAAGGCACGCAAAAAGGATTCATCTTCTTGTAAGAGATCTTCAAAGCTTCAAGCGCATCGTAAAAGACCTGTACCAACAACAACCATCTGTTTTCAACCTTTTCTTTATGATCAAAACAAGAAAATTTATAAAGAGAGTACCTTCATGCCTCCCATTGCTGAGCCAATCAAAACTCCACATCTGGATTTGTCAAACTCTGCCATCACTTCCTCAGTTACTCCACCATCAGCCAACGCCTTCTTGCCAGCGGTTAGAAGATAGAGCATGAATTTGTCCATCCTTTTCGAAAGCTTTGGAGCAACCAATCCTTCTGTCGAAAATGATTTAATCTCTCCAGCGATTCTCTTGGCAAAAGGCAACACACAAAGGGAATATACAAATCAGAAACAGCACAGAGACTAGAGATTCTTAAGAGCTCCTGATATATATAACGCTTACGGTAGGAAATGCAGAACAGTCAAAGTTCTCTATTGGGCTTATGCCACTGATGCCTTGTAGCAGATTCTCATAAAAGGTATGTGGGTCATGACCTAATGGTGTTTCAACCCCCATGCCCGTCACAACAACGCGCCGAGACTCCAAAGGAGGTTTCTTGTTAACCATTGCTTCCTTCTCCATCTCTACAGTGACTTGCCCTGATAATAAGCAAAGTAGAAGTAGAAAGAAGCACTAAATTAGCTTAGCTTCAAACTATACAGCAATGGCACATAGTAACAAGCATAGTACTGAGATCAAAACTGTTGACATGTATAGGAACAACAAACCCAAGAATGGATTGGTAGAGATATACCAGAGGCAGATGCTCGATTCAGTCTCCTCTGCTTTCGATTCAAGTAAGTGTTGTTCGATTCGAAGAGGGAAGACGAGGCGCTGTTGTTACAGGAGCTCGAAAGAGCCTGAATGCCGGCGGATCCATGGGCGGAGCATTTATTATTAAGCAGTCTCCTCCGGCGAGCCCAGCGGCTACTCCTAGTGTCGGATTGTTGAGCCAGTCGCTCTCCGCCGCAGTGAGTGACGGACATGCAAGCCGCCACTAGCCAATCGCATAAGGGAGATGCGTGACATGAAGACGCAGCACCCGCCATAGTCAGCGAGCGATTAGAGAGAGATAGAGAGAAAAAGGGTGAAAACGAGAAATGTGTGATGTAAAAGGTCAAGAGAATCTAGCAGAAGAAGATGGATTCTGGAGTGATGGATCACTCCTCGCTCACTCACTCACTCACTGGATACGTGTTTGGAAGCGTGAAATGTGAATTCGTGTGCGTGGAGACGCCAGAGTCGTTTCTGTGAACAACTGCGTCGCCTAAGCAAAGCGAGAGAGAAAAGAGAGAGACAATATATAATAAGTTATATACCAAAGCAATAAATTCCCCAAAAATTAACGACCAGAATAAACTATTTCATTTTATGCTTTTTTCTCAACAGAAATTAGCTTCTATTTTCAGTATTATATATTTTGCATAATTGACTTTGTGATATTTTGTCATAAGTGTTTCCACCAAATATACTCTTGCATGTATTCTATGAGTTTTAATAGAGAATATCATACATTTAATTTATTCGAGAAAAAATGTAAAATTGAAGTTTTTTTTTCCTATATGTATGTATATTTATCAAAATGTCACCATACTTTTTTTTGCAACAAATTACATAATCAATATAAAACGAACTTTAAGTTTGTGGATGTGAAAATCTATATGTTTTTTTATCTAATCTTAAGTAACAAAAATACATTTGTATAGAAACATATACTACAATAAGCTCCGATTTTGTCTGAAAAAAATATAAAGTATATAACCACCTCGGTTTAATCGAAGGAAGAGACACTAGAGTCAATATTTAATTCGATAAAATACATTAAAGTCTTTCACACAAAAAGGGACAAAAAAGACATTAAAGTCAATAATATTTAATCAAGTCACTGTTGTCCAGTGATAGGGCGAACGACTGATTTTTTTTTTCTGTTTCATACAGTTCTAAACTTCTTAAAAAAATCTCATAATTAAATATACTATACAAATGAAATAGAGAACTAAAAGTTAGTTTGTCAGATTTAACATTTAAGTAATTATTACTTTTTAATTGTTGGTTGGTTCATAGCACTTATTTTTTTTATTTTTCTTTTTTGGTTTTATCATAGCACTTATTTTTTTATTTTTATTTTTTGGTTTTATCATAGCACTTATTTTAGTTTCTAGTTGCACTATTGTCAAAAAGTCAGCTGATTTAGCTATATTCTAGATTATGCATATGTTTCCCATTTGGTTGGCTTATATCGTATTTGTAACTATGTGCCGACAAAAATATTGTTTATTATGGCTATGTAAACTCTTGGTGAAAATCTTTTAACTAAATAAATAAAAAACTATCGGTGAATCTAATAGAAAAACTGTTATTAACAGAAACAAGACAACGAAGGGGCAAACTTCAGGCGCATATGTTTGGGCCTGTGAAGCCATGTTATGAGCTTATAAAAGCCCACTTAAAGCATCAGGTTCGGTCTTTTAATCGTCTATCATATACATAACTTCCGCGAAGGCGCGAATATATAAGGAAGAATAAAACGGTGACGTCGCCTATCCAATTATCGAATAAATGTCATAATACCACATTGACATGCATTTTTTTTTTTTAGTAAACGGATTTATCTATTCAAAACAGAAAAATGTTACATGCAATCTCTATCGACATGTAGTTTATACATTCATGTAATGTATAATACAGTATCTTACTCTTACGTAGCAGCGGCTTATGACGTGTGTGTATAGACCAAGCTAAATGCAATCTCGTAACATGATTGAACTTTACTTTTTGAAGAAATTTAAGTTTTTCCATTCCCATTTTTTTACCTTAATAAAAATTTCCTTTCCAACTAAAGTTTACTTTTTTTTTATAATATAAAATTCTCAAATTGTGTTTTGTTTGTAAAATATAAAATCAATATTTTTTTAAATAGAACCATGCTTCACCAACTTTTTTTTCTGTTGTTGTTACTTTTTAATTTATCTAATAGGTATAAATAATCATTGATATAAATAATCTTTTTTCTTTTCTTATTCTTTCTGCTGAATAATTATTTGGTAATTACTAAAATTTGAGAAACAAAAAGTTAGATAAGGTTATTCCCATTTTTGTGATTTCATTTTGAGAAACCAAACTTTTTTTGTTCAACAGGACATTCTTCATATTGATTCAAAGTTCAAACCTACTGTTTAACAAAAATGTAGATATTTACATAAAAATATAATAAAGAAGATTTGCAAACAAGAATTGACTTAAAAAAATCGGGTATTGTTTCTCTCTCTCTCTATCTCTAACTCCCAGCGTCGGAAACGTTTTTCCTGGACGGAGATAGAGCTCAACGACAAAACTTCCGACGCCGAGAGACTTTTTAATTCATTTTTTTTCCTCTGTAATTTCGTATCCAGAATTCTCGATAGACGATCTCTTCTTCTTCGTATTTTTCGTGATCCTCTCATCGCGAAAAATATACGATTTTTTTTTTCATTTGGGTTTTTTAATTTCGTGCACCAAGTTTTGACTTTGAAATTTGCGTAGTATTCAAGCACATTCTGGGTTTTATTCGTTTGAGTAGACATTGATTTTGTCAAAGTTACGTTCTTATATTAAAGAAGAAATTCCTCTTTCTTTCTTTTCCTCTTCCCTTTCTCTTTACTCCTTTTTCTACCCCATGTTTGTGTAGATTCTTAGATTCTCCTCCAAATTTTGAAGAAAGGAGAAACTAAAGGGTCTTTTCGAGATTCCATTGTTGCTGCAGTTTCGTGTTTAGATCATTTCGTGTAACCACTAAAAGCGGAGAGAAATCGTGTTTTAGATTTTTGGGTTTTCTTCAAATACTTGGGATCTTATCTGATCCCAGGATTTCGCCTACAATTCTCTCGAGGTAAGACGTGATGATTCGAACAATCCATAGCTTCGTTTTGTAGCTGAAATCACTTGATAGATTCCTGATTTCTCTTTTCCTCGTTTCCAATTTGAAATTCGTCTGCAAGATATCCATGGAGATTCCGTGAGCTCGTTTAGCTAATTGGTTGCAGGTTTTAGGGTTTAATCATTGTTGGTAGATTCAAATGCTGTTTTGAAGTGAACTAGTGACGCAACTTCGTTTTGGGTTTTCGTCTGAATTTAAGGTTTTTTGCTGATTTAAGAATTCGATGATTGTTGTCCAGGTACAAGAGATTTAGCTGGCGTTGGCTATGAACAGATAGTTTAATTAGGCAGTATGGGTTGGTTCAACAAGATCTTCAAAGGCTCTAACCAAAGGCTCCGGGTGGGGAATGAGCACAATCACAATGGCTATTACGAGAACTATCCAAATGCGCATGCTTCACACGACGAGCCTAGTGCGGATACAGATGCTGATCGTGATGAACCTCAGACGCAGGAATCATCTACATCTGAGGTTAGTAGTGTGTCGCAGAGACTTACTGTTTGACTTTGTTTATAAAACTTTTTTTTGCTGAGTTTGGAGACCTCGAAATGGTCAAATAAGCACAATCTCGGGTTTATCTGATTGTGTATAGCTCTGCTCTAAACTTTTTGTTTACTAGGATACGTCGAATGACCAGGAAAATGAAGACATAGACCGTGCAATCGCGTTGTCTCTTTTAGAAGAGAATCAAGGACAGAAAAATACAGGCGGTGAGTCCGCTTTGTCATCATGAAGAGATAGATTTGTTATCAAATTTTTAAAAAATTTAAAAAGTGAAATTTGGATAACAGGGAAATACGTAATGGTGGATGAAGATGAGCAGCTTGCTAGAGCCATACAAGAAAGTATGATAGTTGGGAATTCACCGCGTCACAAAAGTGGAAGTACGTATGATCATGGGAATGCATATGGGACTGCAGATTTATTTGGGAATGGTCACATGCATGGAGGAGGAAATGTATATGCAAATGGAGATATTTATTACCCAAGACCCGTTGCTTTTTCAATGGATTTCAGGTACTTAGATAGCCAATTATATTTATCGATTTGTTAATTTTCTCCCCAGCCAGATAAACTTGTCAAACAATTTGTCTGCATAGGATTTGTGCTGGCTGCAATATGGAGATTGGCCATGGAAGATTTCTGAATTGCCTTAACTCACTATGGCATCCAGAATGTTTTCGATGTTATGGCTGTAGTCACCCGATTTCTGAGTACGAGGTGAAACCAAGCTCTTCCGAACTTTTTAGTTTTCCGGTTCCACTTAACCTTTAAATTTATCTATAACATGTTTTTTTTTCTTCTTATAGTTTTCAACATCTGGGAACTACCCTTTTCACAAGGCTTGTTACAGGGAGAGATATCATCCAAAATGTGATGTCTGCAACCACTTTGTATGTAAATCTCTTGCCTTTGTATATATTAATTTGCGTTGTTTTCTTTGGATCTTGCACTTATCGGCTGTTGCTTTCTTTTTTCCCTTTGTAAATTTTTTTTGGACAGATTCCAACAAATCCTGCTGGTCTTATTGAATATAGGGCACACCCATTTTGGATCCAGAAGTATTGCCCTTCTCACGAACACGATTCCACCCCAAGATGTTGCAGTTGTGAAAGAATGGAGGTGACTTCTTTTCTCCTCTAAAATGTCTCAAAACATACAGTACATCTATTCAAAGTCAAAACATTTTTGTGGGAGGAAGTTGACAACTTTTTCTTTATTTTGCAGCCACGGAATACGGGATATATTGAGCTTAATGATGGACGTAAACTTTGCCTCGAGTGTCTGGACTCAGCGGTCATGGACACAAGTCAATGTCAACCTTTGTACTTGCAGATACAAGATTTCTATGAAGGGCTTAACATGAAGGTAGAGCAGGAAGTTCCACTGCTCTTGGTTGAGAGGCAAGCACTTAACGAAGCCAGAGAAGGTGAAAAGAATGTGAGTAAAAAAATACAATCATTACTTAGTAATTACTTGAATATACATCACATTTTGCTTCTCCTGAGTTTTTCATTGTGTGCCTCTTAGGGTCACTATCACATGCCAGAGACAAGAGGACTGTGTCTTTCAGAAGAACAAACTGTTAGTACTATAAGAAAGCGATCAAAGGGAAATTGGGGTGGGAATATGATCACAGAGCCGTACAAGTTAACTCGTCAATGCGAAGTTACTGCCATTCTCATCTTATTTGGGCTCCCTAGGCTACTGACTGGTTCGATTCTAGCTCACGAGATGATGCACGCGTGGATGCGGCTGAAAGGTGAGTTCTTTTGTTCTGCCTTCATTTCTTATTTGGCTGCTTCTTCTCTTGTTTCACATTGCTGAATCGCTATATTACATTGTGGTTGGTCTTGAAAAGGATTCCGGACACTGAGCCAAGACATTGAAGAAGGTATATGTCAAGTGATGGCT